GGCTAGCGGATGGCTATAATCAGTGTTTTGCCACGTGCTCCGGACTCGTATCTGCAGCCCCGTACCGGTCTTCTATGCAGTAGCTCTGCAGTCCCGTGGTCTGTCCCCAGCTAGTTCATATCACAGTGTTCAGCGTACTGGCCACTAGGTAAGTCCGCAGTCTCGGTCAAGTGCGGCAATACGCAGTGCAGAACCCTGCAACCGGCTACAATAGCCACAACAGGTATCAAGACCCCGCAGCAACCACTGTATACGGCAGCTAAGCAAAACGCAAGTAGGATGCAGTAGCAAGTCGACTTTACACAGTCAGCCGCACGAATACAGCAACCGTAACTCTACCGTTCAACATCCGTACACTCACTCATATACAAGGGGATAAGGTCGCCGACCGCATCCCCCACACTAGCCGCCATATGCGCTTCATAGGCCGACTTCAGTGACCGTGCGTACGCTGAGCATACAGGCCACTGCCACGTGGCCTTGGTACACTAAAGCAGTTCGACTCAGCATCCTGCATGGTCCTGCTCGTGGCTCGATCCTGTAACTTGCTTCGTATCCCCAGCTTGCCAGGTAGGTTCGCTTCCCTCTCTCCCTCAGATAACAGAGCCTGGCCTTGACTACCACAAGGATGTAGTGCCGAGACTGACAAATTATATCAGCGGCGTAATCACCAGCGGACACTTGACGCCAAGTCAGGCCGAATCGTGATGACGAGCAACGATCCCACCAGCGAGATGTTGAGGTCGATCTCGAACGCGATGAGCATGTGCGACAGAACCAGCGGAATCGAGATGAGCAGTTGCGTAACCGGGGTAAGTACCAACGGACCGAGCCAGCGTTCACACACAACAATTGTGTGACCCTGCTCCAATACTTACCAACCATGCAAAATGAAGATGAATCTTCCGTTAGAACAGGGAAAGATACACCCCCATACTAGTACCTCCCTTTGGCCGAACGCACGGTACGCAGCCCCCGGCTATCGTAGCTACCAAACCATGGCTGAGTGCTACATCTAATACAGCTACCTAACTCGCAATGGCAGAAACCCGCCACCTACCATCTTACTCCTCCAAAATCAACCAACGAATGACCGAGGTAAGGCAGCTTCTCCCCTCTCCTTTCCTTCTCAACTCTTCCCCCGACACTCCTTTCCTTACTACTTCTTGCGCAAATCCGATCCCACCATTTGGCTCGCCTCAACCCCAAGTTCTGCCTCCTTCCCTATCTGAGTCCATGCTGCCACTTTCCTACTGCGCACACCATAGCTCGCCCTTTTCGTTTTCAGCTTCCCAATGTACCTGGCGTGAGTTAGCGCCCAGGTTCATCCGTTCGCCTTTACTGCCTTTTCTCCACGCACAACTTTTCTTACCTCCTCTTGTTTCTACTGTCTCAACACTAAAATTGACTTCACAATCGTTTTCGCCCAACCTTAAAAACGTCGGGTTAGCACTCTCCCTTATCTGATTCTGTTAGGAATCGAGAGGGACGAGCATTTCTCCACTCCCACACTTCACACCATCTTCTCCGCCATAGCCTCCCGTACTAACTCCTTTTCCTACTTCCTACCTTACCGACCTATCACGCAGACTAACCACAGGTATAGCTTCGCCAGCCTTAGAAAATCCGGATTTGACTCTCACTTCGCTCGCTCCTTCTAAGAATCGCGCCCGTTGTTCCTCTTTGGCTGCGCTCTGCCAGTCTCTCCGCCATCCCCAACTTCGAACGCACCTGGTGCGGAACCAGCCCAGGTTCATTCCCTTCTCTTTGGCCTATATTGACACTCTCTCAGCAGTCCGCGATGCCTTCTCCTCTCGGAAGGCACTCGCAATTAGCAACCTCAAAGAGAGGTTGCTCTCTCCCTTTATGCGGTCCAGCCTCGCGCAAGGACCATGCTAATCTTCTCTGTATCGTTCCAATTTTTACAGCTGTCCCGAAGGACTGCTCCTTGAGCAGAGACCCAGGCTCGTCGGGTCTGCTGCCTTGGGGCAGTTGTCTCCCCTGGATTCAGACGCCGGCTTGCGTTTTAGTAGTTTGGTGGTGTATCCACTGAACTAGGTGCTCGGTCGCCGGACCTGGCGCCACCGCCGGACCACGTTCAGACGCAGAACAACAGAAACCTCTAGGAAATAACAAAAAAATAAAATAACATAATAAAAAGAAGATTCTTAGGGAGCGGAATAGGGGAAGAGGCAGTTGGCACTTGGCCCTCGGTCCTACCTCTCGGGCCCACAGCCGGAACCCCTCGCAAAAAGCCAAGGGGGATAGCCCCGCGGGACCCTCAACCCCTCGGCTCACTCCGACGCGCTCCTCTGCTGCTCCGCTGCTCGCTGCTGGCCTCGATCCGGGGACCCGCCTGGTGGAAGTTCAGTAACGTAACCTATAGGGCTAAGCCCAAGCCTGAGTTGGCCGTGCGTTGCCCTGTACATGAATGGTATGGCCAACCAGCCTGGGCCTGCAAAGGGTACCTTAGGCCGCTTTTCTAACTCACGGCCTGCGTCCATCACTTCGTAAGGCCGCACTCGGCTATCTTGGGGCAAGGCTCCGGTTGGTCCACCACGCACGCCTGCTCCGCTACTATATGGCTGAGGGTCGTGCCTCTCATAGCTGCCATGAACGCCCTTTTACCGCCCCCTTGATAACCCCGACTTTTGTTCTATTCCGAGCCATCCTTACTTGGCTTTGGCTGTGGCTTCTACTATAGATAGCGCATGGTCAACTCAGTGCCTTGCGTAACTTTAAACGGTGCGACCCTGCACGTCGGCCCCTAGTAAGTCAGACAACACCCTCCTCTAGTCACAGCCTTACCTAGTCAACGCGACGCTGTCCGTAACTTTGCCCGTGCGTGCGAGGCTGCAACCGCCTCAGAAAGTCTAGCCTAGCACTCACTTGTCCTATCGGTGTGTCATAGTCTTCCCGGATCAAGGTCCGGTCCAGCTAACGCATGCCCGCAAGTGCACGCTCACACACTCTCTAATCAACACAAATGGGACGCGCCCCTAGATATTGTCAGGCGCGTTCTTCCTGTACGCTGCAAATATGTGCCCAAATACCCTTGTAAGGGTATTCGGGCCGACAGTTTTCCGGACCTTATTAAGCGACGTCCCCGTCGCGTCGGACAATCAAAACTATAAATACCACCACATTTGTTGACAAGGAAACGACCAATCCGACTCACCGGCTCGACTCCGTTCGAGGTAGTCTTACCAACCTGCTCCTGTCACGACGTTCCTCTGCCAAGATTTCAACCTGGGTCTCCCACGTGCTGGCCTCGGAGTTAGGGGATACTTTGTTCCGTACTACAGCGTACTACCCGCTCCCAGGTAGTAGGTTGATAGTCCTCTCCCTTTGTCGTAGACATTTGCCGGTTCACCGTTGGGTGTCCTATTTAGTCATCGTCCCGCGTACGGGGTCATAACTTAGGACGCGGGCCCTAACCGAGACCTCTCAAAATACGGGGCACCTTTAGTCCCCTCAACGGTAATGCTTACCATTTCAAATAGTCACTCATAATGAACAACCATTCCGGAGTCTAACACATGTGGCTTCAGGTCTCCGTCTTGGCCGACCAATGGAACGATCGATCACGCCGAATCCACGGCCCACCGCGTTGTTATGTAGCGATGGTGCCCTCGTTGGTTACGCAACGATAAGCAACTCTTCCTATCTTGGTACCCCGAAGGATCCCGACTCTTGACTTAATCGACCCCAATGACTTTCCCTCTGGCTAAACCTCTCCGGGTGGCCGACCCTTTAAGACTTAACCTTTGGTAAGCCATGGTCCCGCTGCCAGGTTGTGTCGGTCAGCGGCCCTCGCTGGGAGTTAGGTTTCTACAGTTCCAGCGATGCTAAGTATAGCCCCTTAGCTTGGCCTCACAAAGTATGTCCCTTTGACTGACCTCACTGTGGTCTGACGCTTCCTTCCAAAACTTTCAGAACAACCAAAGGGTCACATACCAACTGCCCACGGGACTACATGGAGGGATAGTGCCTTTCTCAACCATTTCAACCAAATCCTCAGCAATTCCACAGGGTCGTGCCTCCCTTACGTCGATCAAGAGTAGGTAAGGTCACACGTCTTTTAAGGACATCTCTCAGAATATTTTCCAAGGTTCCATCATAATTGCCAGAAATTTCATCTATTATTTTCACAAAATATTTGGCCTTTCCTCATTAGGCTTTACATACACACAAATATTTATCATCACTATAGCATCTTTTTTGAGTGCTCTCACAAATTTCAACTTTTTAAGAAAGTCCAATCGGCCATTGGGCTTTCCTCTCTCTTTTCCGAGTCACACAGAAGACACAACTTTGGTTGACCTTTCCACTCATCATCATTCCATCTGTGCATAACACATCATGCCATCTCTTTCTTAGGAATCTGAGAGCACTTTCTCCCATCGTACTTTGGGCTCCACCTGTCATTGGGCCAGGGATGCGTAAGTACATTGGAAGAAAGCGCAGATCAGTTCACTTCACAACATTCATCTCATCACACCATCATCCATATGGGCAAGTCCACAACTGAGAGTGAGTGTGACACACCATACCCACAAAAAACAAGATTCGAGACTCACATAGGTACACAGGATATGGGGCCCTGCAATGAGCAAAGGCTCCTGTCCTTATCAAAAAGCCAAAGTATCATACAAAGGGTTTGATTATCCCACAAGGAATTACAATACCCAACGAAGAATCCAGGTATCCAAGTGTTAAGGTACTAAAAAATCAACAGTCACTCCACACTCAGGAGTGTCACTCTGCTCTAGACGGTAAGAGAACCATAACTTTACACGAGGGTCTTAACACTTCACACCACACTTAGCAAAAAAAGAGAAAAGTAGTCAGGATTATACACAGTGTTATCTTATGTACATAAAAGTCCATAATGCGAAAGTAGACATCTCACTACTGGCTCAACTTGCTGATGTACATGGGTCTGATCCAATCCTCCATGTATCCTCCTATATACAAGTAACCATCAGTCAGCGAATCAGGAATGCCTTGCGTATACTAGACTTAGACCTGTCCGGACCTTATTAGAAAATCCTACTCCTGACCACTCATAACCTCCTGCAGCTGCCTATACAACTGCGCCCTTACCCCATCACGAGTTTTAGGAACTAGGACTCCATTCCTGTCTCTCCACACTCCAGATGACTCTCTGATAACCAACCCATTTGCCTCGTCCTTGAGGCTCTTGGGGCAGTCGTCAGATCGATGCTTGCCCTTCTTGCAGTAGAAGCATTTGCCAACCTTCTTCTGAGACATCTTGTCTCCTTCCTGCGAGGGTACTGATGATGGGATGGTTGAGATCTTACTCGTGACCTCCTGTTGTGGAACCTCTGGGGAAGTGGGGCATGCCGCTCTCTCGTCTGTTGGTATCACCTGCTCGCCGACACGTCCCTCTGGCCCCGAACCAGTGGCCCAAGTTCCCAATGCGTCCCGCAAACCTGCCACCAGAGGCATATCCTGAGGTATGGCCGACTCCTGACACCCCTTCAAGTCCCTCCTTGACTCAGCCTCAGCCATGGTCTGACCCACACTCTCCTGACCTTCCTGTGGCCTCACGGCCTCTCCCTGAGTCGTAGGTGAAACCACTTCAGCTCCCATGGCCTTTGCTGGTGGCCTCTCTTCTGGCATCGCCGACTCTCGTCCTTGCGTCAGACCCGCCGGCATCCTCCACTCAAATCCTCCAACCTAAGTTTCTCACAGCCAGTTCTCCTCTCGGCTCCAACATTTCCTTATCTATCAGGGGAATCTCCTCGCCCTCTTGCTAATCCGCCTTTTCTTCTTCCTTTTGGCACCTGGAGGCTTCTGCTGCAGGTCGTTCCCTGATCTCAAACGCTTGGACCTCTGTCCAATCCACCACTGCAGTTGGAGCCTGTCGTGTATACTTGGCTTCGAGGTCTTGTATCCTCTTCTCCCACTCAACTTCCTTTGCTTGGAAGGAGACCTGCTGTGCCTGTAGATAGGTCCTCAGGACGTCATTGACTTTGTTGAGGGTCTGGTTGACCTGCCTGACGACCTCGTTTTCTGCCCAAATCTTCTCCATATCTGCCCTCACTGCCTCCACCTCCTTACTCTCCGTTCCCAATTCCTTCTTCAAGTCTTCAATCTCTCTTTCCCATTCAACCCTCTGGCCATACGCTTTCTGTGCCACCTTTGTCAGCCTCTCTCCGACCTTCTGATCTGAAGCTCTGGCTGCTGCGAAGCCTTCTTTCATCACGCCCCTCAAGTTGAGTAGGTCTGTAGAGACTAGCTTAATCCCCATCTCCTGATGATGCCCTCCAGACCTCCCTACGACATCCATCAGCTTGTCAAACCTGACCCATACCTCTGAGAATAAGGGAAGGTCCTCCTCCTGAGTGCAAGTGCCCTTTCCACTCTTGTCATCCACCTCCTGAGGCTCTTTTCCCTGCTGCATCCTCTCATGCAGCTCAGCAAGGTTCTACATCCTGAGTTGAACCTTGATCTCCTGGTCCCTTGCCGCTCTCTCTTTTCTGTCCAGTTCCTTCTCCTGGGCAGACTGCTCCTCCTGCAAATGTGGCTCATGAGGCAAGTCTGGCTCTATGTCTGGCATAGGACAATCCACCTCCTTCTCAACAGGCTGTGGAGGCACCCTTGGACCACCTGACCCTCCTGTTCTCTCATGCCTATGGGATATGTGCTCCTTACTCCTGTCCTCCCTCTGCGTCCCTGATGACATGCCTTGCTCGAAGGCTCTCCTCTCCTCTGCCTCTGGCTCCCTCCTTCTCTTTTCCAGACTCCTTTCACCTGCCTGACGTGCTGGAGCATAGTAGCTCCAGAGCAGCTTCTTGCAGCGTCCCCAATTCATGGCAGGCTCCACAATAGATCTGACGAAGGACCTGATGTGTCATCTCACAAACAGGAGGAAGCTCCCCACCCTCTGGTTTCTTGAAATATCCAACTCATCCGCATATCGGTCATAGGCCCAAAGGAATTCCCCCAAATTAGTGGAGTCAAACCGAATGGGCTGTCCATCTTTCCCCACTGGGGATGGGTGCAAACCCTCCATCTTCCTCTCAAAATCCTGTCATGTTAGTGACTCCCTGACAAGGTTGAAAATGGGGTCTGTCCACTCGCCTGTGCCTCACACCTCTTTCAGCATCCTGGTGCCATCCCATCCAAACTCCCGAGCATGTCTCTCGAACTCGATCAGGAACAGCTCAATGTTCCCTCCCTGGAAAACTGGAGGCCTGTCCTCTCTCCTGGTGCCCATCTACGTCCTCTGTCTGGTCGCCCCCAAAGGGGTCTCCACTGGCTCTGCCCCTCCCCTCCCGCTTGGCATGGCTGCCCCGAGCGGTGTCAAGCCTGCACAACAAGGAGGAGACAAACAGGAGCACACAGAGGGTAAGCAGGTTGGATACACACAACAGGAGACAGACATAGCCCTCCCACAAATATCCCAGCTATTTGCCTATCCACGTATGCATACATACATACACGAGTCTAATCAAGAAGTCACAGCCTGTCACGCTATTCTACTGAGAATAATAACCTATACGTTCTATTTACACTAATGTTTCTATATAACGTGCTCAGAAGGTGACTCTAACTGGTGCGGTCCATGCTCACCTCGTCTCGAGCCACAAACTTCTTCAGCCTCGAGCCTAACACCCAGTCCTTCCATGTCGTCCCATTCAGCTCCTCAATCTGGTAGGCACCATGTTCACCACATCTGGTGACCCTGTATGGTCCCAACCACCTCTTGTCCAACTTCTGTGACCACTGCTTCTCCAGGGATGAGTCGTATAGCAACACAATGTCTCCCAGCTTAAGAGGTTCCTTTCTTACTCTTGCCATCTTATCCCACCTGAACTTGTCCTTGGTACGACTGTCCGCCACCCTACTCGTTGCTCCCTCAATTTTGTCCTTTATAGCGCCAATCTGACGTGCCCTTAAGTCAAGCAGTTCCTCAAATGTCAGATAAGTCTCGAGGTCTTGCCGCCTCCAGGTCTTTAGGAAGCTTTCAATAGGAAATGTTGCATGCCTGCCATACCATAACGTGGCTGGTGCGTAGCCGATGCTTCTCCTGACAGTGATATTATCCACGAAGAAAGCGACCCTTAGGAAATTCGGCCACTGATTGGGCCTGCCATCAGTCCACTTGGCAATAAGATTTGTGATGGTGCTATGCCCTCTCTCCACAGGTGCATTAGCTTGAGGGTGCGCCGCAGTAGTGTACTCGGCGATCACCCCATACCTCTTCAAAAGAGTCTTTACTTCCGCACAGGTGAACTCGGACCCTCTATCCATCACGAATCTGGAGACAAAGGGGTAATGCAGGTAATATTCTTCGATGCATCGAGCCAGCGTTTCCCCAGTCTTCGTGCGAATGGCCCGGCCATCCACAAATCCAGAGAGGTTGTCCCGCGCATCGACGATAAAGTTATAACTCCCTATTCCCAGCGGCATTGCCAACAGATCCAGGTGCACGACCGCTCCAACTTCACAAACATACCTTGGGTGAAGCAGCTCCCTAGGTCTAAGAGAGGATCGCTCCTGGCATGGTACACAAGATTTACAATAATCGTCGATCATATTTCCCATGCCATCCCAATAGTACAATTCGTGTATCTTGAGATATGTCGTCTTTGTGCTTCTGTGGCCACCCGCCGTACCATCGTGTAGTGCTGCCATAACGTCAATCTGGTGAACGACGCCGCAGACTACTCTTCTGGGAGCCTTCCCTTTGCTTCTCATGAATAGATGGCCATCCCTTACTAGAAAGCTTGGTCTCATCTTCAGAACTCTGGCGCAAGCGTCCCTTTCTCTCATTTCACACGAAAAAAGCATTCCGAGTTCAAGGTATACTCCTTCATATTCCTCTGCTCGAAATGCTTCCTTAATCTCACCTTCTTCAAAATCATCGTCTTCTCTTTCGTGGACCACATTATCACCCTCTTCTTGATCTAGCACCGTATTCCTGACCACCTCTTCCTGAAGTAGCGCATTTGCTAGCAAATACACCCCACCTATCACTTTCTCGTGCTTGCCCACCTGCAGCGCCGCATCCTCGGTCGTGAGCAAGTCCTCTTGTAGCTGGTACTTGCCTGCCAAGGCCAGATCCATCATCCAATCCACACCTAGCATTCCCCAAGAGTCTTCTTCAATATAGGGCTTAAGGACTAGGTCTGGTCGTCATACATATCCTGGTGGCGCAAGCCACACAGGTCGCCCAAGAGTAACATAGTTACCCACGGCCAGTGACCAGGAGTTGATGTGAAGCCTCACATCCTCCTCGCTGTCCAGGAACCTGTCAACTGGTGGAGCATCCTCAACCACTCCTTGGCTGTTCTTGTCCAAGTCGACTCGACTCAGCCCATCCGGTCTATTCTTGTTCCCCGGAATTCGCTCCAACTCGAAGTCGAACATCCAGATGTACGTTAGCCACCTGGTGATGGTCGGATCCGAGAGAGCAAAATTCTTGAGAGAACCAGCTAGAGCAGTTGGGTTCACCCTCAGTACAAACCTACTGCCAAAGAGGTAGTTTCTGAAAATCCTTAAACAGTGAAGAACTGTCAAGGTTTCGCGCTTAAACTGAGAGTTGTTCCTCTCAGTTGTATTAAGCGTCCGACTCTCAAACCTTAGTGGTCGTTCTTCTCCATTGGGATCTCGTTGAATCAACACACCTCCCAAAGCAGTCGGTCCTGCGTCCGTTTCAACAATGAAAGGCCTGGTCATCACCGACGCATGATCTGGTACCCCCAGTACTAGATCTCCCTCTTCGAACTTCTTCAGGCCTTTTATTACCGATTCTTGCTTATCTCCCCATTCCCAATCTTGGCCCTGACGCACAAGCTTTCGCAACTGCCTAGTCTTCGCCGCAAACCCTTTTGTAAAGATCCTCCAAAACCTGCATGTTCCCACGAAGCTCCTTACCTCAGTAATGGTCTCGAATGGTGTTGGCCATTCGAGAATCTTGTTGGTCTTCTTAGTATCTGGCCGACGACCCCGCTCGTCGCACACAAATCCTAAGATAGTGGTCCCGCTCATGCAGTGCCTCGACTTTGGCCCACTGGCAGTGAGGTTATGCTCCCTCAGAAGGTCCAGGACCTTGCACAAATCTTGCACATGGTCCCAGACAAAGCGCCTGATTCCCGACATCACCTCCTGCTCATCCTTCTCCTTAGGCCCTTTCACGACCAGATCATCAATATAAGGCTGCGTAATGTGAGGACTTATGGGCTGCATTGCCCTCACCATATACCTCTGGACCATGGCAACCGCGCTCGTCCACCCTTGCGGTGCGACGTTCATATGGATCAACCCTCGAGGAGTATGCATGGTCGTCATTGGTCTGTCAGATGGGTATACAGGAAACTGTTAGTAACCTGAATATAAATCTATGAGAGATATTATCGCCCTCCCCGCGCAGGCCTCTGAAAGCGCATCAGCGTTGGGGAGACCTCCTGCGTCTCTCACGGTTACAGCGTTCAGGCGCTGCAAGTCCTGTACCCACCTCAAGGTCCCATTGGGTTTGACAAAGCAAAACCAAGGGGATGCATACGGTTCACTCGTGTAGTCTGCCACATGTGTGCGGATTTTCCCATCCAGGTATTTGACTACCTTTTCTTCATCAGTTGGATTAGGATACCGCGCACCTCGCAAGTTCCATGGCTCGTGAGACACGGTGTGTATCCTTATCATTGGGATTATATCCACGTCCAGACGACCTCTCTCATCATCACTGAAGGCATACGCAGCGTGCCTTCCTCTTATGGTTTCCACCATAAGTTTATCTTCCTGCGCTGTAAGGAAGCCAGACTCTCCTATAATCAGCGCCTTAGCACGGCCCATTCTCTGCGCTTTCCCGCATTTGCCGTATCAACTCTCGTTCCCGCTCGTAGTAAACTTCCTGCTCTTCATCAACGAGTACGGGAACAGGGCGGCACTTCTGATCTACCCTTTTGTACCGCCTTTGTGCCCCCTGCTTGAGCCCACCACTAAAAAAGGTCGAGTTGTGCTTTGGGGCTGTGCTCCAATTGCTCCGCCTATCCTTCCTGGCGTCCGGTATATCAACTCCATTTCTCTTGCTCCCATCTGTTCCACCACCTTTTCTCTCAAGGCCTCCACAGCCTCTGGATCCGCCATCCCATAGGTCGACACTATGTCCATAGCATCACCTATATTCGTTAGGCTAAGGGTCAGTGCCTCTGGGCCTCTTTCTTCTTCAATCCTTGAACTGGACTGCCCTCCCGCTAGATATAGTGTTGGGCCTGGCTGGGCAGCCCACGGTCTCCAACCAGGAGCATCCAGATCTAGATCCGATCGAAGGCCCTGAATGCAGGCCCAAATCCTCCTCCTGGTGGTATCCTGCTGCTAAAGCAGGCCCTACCTATTAGGGGAAAGTTTGTAGTGACACACCTGGAACCAACAAAAATGGACCAGACAGCAAGTGCAAGGCACAAGGCCTCGATAAGCCCTACTGGGCCCCTATTTGCAACAAGCGTCGGCCGCCCTGAGTGAAGGCAGGCTCGACAGACCTCAAGAGGCCTATTTTGGACTACTACGCAACTGGGGAAATTCAGGCAATTGCACAGTGCCAGTTGGTTGGAAGCGGCCATGCCCAGGCTGCCTTGCATTGCATGTAACTGAGGCAGGCCCTGGGCCGGATACACAAAGTGGACCGAACAAAGGCTGAGGGAAGTTGGGTGCTGGTAACCACCACAGACCCTGGACCTGTTGACTTCGGACTGAGGCTCAGCCTCCCTGGGCCTTCCGGAAGCTCCTGGACCGGGGCCCAGTACCGCAGCACAGCACGCAGCTGCAGGCCACTTCGATATAGGGAAGGGCCTGCCTACGCATTGGACATTCGGGCACTGGCTGCTTTGTGCGCAAGCGCTGCTGCGCTATCGCTTGCGAGGCTCACGCGCTCACGGGCGAGCTGGAAGGAGCAGGCAACCATAGCCGAGCTGCACTGCTGTATGCTGGATGGGGCGCATGGTGGTCCTTGGGTGCAAGTGGCATCTGTGAGTTGGGGAATGAGGTTGTGAGTGATACGAGAGACATACCTGGTGCTTGAAGCGTGCGGCATTGGCTGAGATCTGCTCGTACTTCGGGGAGCTGTTGACGTCATCAGCGGCATTGTAGAGTAGGCTAGATAGGATCTGCCATCTGTAGTCTGGGCGCTGAGCGCCAGATAGGATATCAACATTGGTTCTTCGTTGATGATGATGATGATACTATTCCAGCATTGTCAATTATGAGCTTTTGGTGTGCTCTTATTTGGTGAAACTCGTGATGCAAGTCTGCTTTTGGTTCGAGGTCACGACTATCTGGTCTCATGTGTATGATGCTGTTTGATTGCTGAAGTTCGCTAAGGACCAGCCCCTCAGTTGGGACGCAGAGTGCGAACGGGCCTTCGCCACCCTCAAAGGCGCTCTGGCGACAGCACCTATTTTGATCCGGTCGGACCCCACAAAGCAGTTCATTCTCATAACGGACTGGCAGCCAGAGGCGATTTCCGCTATTCTAGCGCAGAAGGGGAACGGCGGTCGAGAACACATCATCGAATACGCATCTCGTACGGTGCCAGACGAACGAAGGAACGACTCAGCTCCGCAAGGTGAATGCTATGTTGTAGTCTGGGGAATTCAGCACTTCCATCCGTACTTGTACGGACAGAAGTTCCTCCTTGTAAGCGATCACAAGCCATTGCTGGCTCTCAAGAAGCTCACTAATTACACGAGTATGATCGGGCGGTGGGCTGTGCGCCTACAGGAATACGAGTTCGACATCATCCACTGAAAGATAGAGAGGCACGACAACGCGGACGGGTTGACACGTCTGCATCGCCCCGCTAAGGTACCGAAGGGCGAAGAAATCATTCCGTGGAAGGAACCGGAGTCAGAGAACGGACCCAAATATGGACAAGTGGCAGTCCTTCCACGTGGCAAGAAGCAGGCGATTGGCAATGGGTGACGGAGGTAATCCTACAACTCCTCTCTCTCCCCTCTCATCTTCATCTTTCCTCTCCCTGATCGACAAATTTTGTTATTTTTGTGAAGCGATCTCGCGCGTCTACTCGATCTCAATGCGTCCTAGTGGGGAAGGGTATGCAGAATGGATAGATTGTCGATAGTGTGTCGCACGAGTCCATGGCTCGTGCATCCAGTACCGAAATGGCGATAAGCCTTGGTTGTGTCCCTTGTGTCGGATTGATAAGATCCCAACTGAAGCTCGATTTCTGGACGCCACGTCAGAAGGGTTGGAAAAGACCCGGAAGTTTAGAAGGGCCGAGATATGGACGGACATCGCTCTAATTGCCACCTTAGTAGGTAACCCCCTCCGGGACTTCACCAAGGAGGATCGGAGGAGGGCCAACGAAAGGGCTAGGGACTATCGCTGGAACGAGGGCCGGTTGGAAAAACGGAAGACGGATGGTAGCGGGATTTGGATGGTAGTGCCACACCGGTTCATTAGGTATGACTGGGTTAAGACGGCACATGAGGAAACGGCAGCCCATTTTGTCGTACGGATCACGGAAGCGACAATTGACAAGAACGAGTGGTATTGGTCCAATATTCGCGATGATGTGAAATTCATCGTCGCGAATTGCCAGGCATGCGCTGCTGACAAGGCGCCGATCCAGCCGCCAAGATCGATAGTACCGATGGTAGTTGAACGGCCTTTTCAGAGAGTTAGCATGGATACTACCGATATTGTGGTGCCCCCTGGACCAAATAGCTGCGAGTATTCAATCCTACTAGTATTCGTGGAGCACTTTCGAAATGGATCGAGGCGTATCCGTGTCGTACATGACAGGCGACCGAAATTGCGCGATACGTCAACCGGTTTTTAGGGATGCATCAGGACACAGAAGAAATCCTAACCGACAATGGGGTAGAATTTATAGGGGAAGTTTTAGGGGAAGTTTTAGGGGAAGTTTTCAGGAATTTGGTTGTGCGCGGCGTCGCTATTCGGAACACTGCACCCCACATGTCACAATCTAACGGCCTGGTAGAAAACGCAAATCGGGTGAAAAAGACAGCACTGCGACGAAACATCGCGGCACGGGATCCGAGGCCCTGGCCCGATATCGTAGATCACATCCTAGCGGTCCATCGGGGAACGCCTCACGAGTCGACAGGCCTTAGCCCCTTCCAATTACGATTCAATAGCGTAGCTTGTGTCTCGATACCGAGCCTCCCCGATGAATCTTCATTGAAACGACGACCCACAAGAGCCACGGTTCGGGACAAGGCCAAGCGGCACATGGAACTGATGGAACGGTCCCTTCCCCGATTAGCCCGAAAGCGCCAGAAAATGACTGATTTGGCCCACGGTCGACAGGTCCGTAGCTATGAGGCCCGAAATGGAAACGCAGGACCACGGCCCCAGTATAAATTAGGGGACCTAGTGCAGGTGAGGAAATGTGCTCGCCAAGGGAAGATAGAGCCACGATTCTTCGGGCGATTTCGTGTGATCGAACTCGGCCCGAACAGAGTGAACATCGTGCGCCTCGTCCGGAGGTCTCGGGAAGCCGATCGGCTCGACCGATCGTACGCCACGTGTACTATCTACATCCTCTCCCTTCCTCTCCATCTCCAGCCGTGTCTACTTCCTCCTTCGCTACGGAAGAGAAAGATGACTCCTTATCGCTCTCGTCCCCTCCCGCTTCTCTTACTCCGTCCTCATCGCCATCGCCATGAGTTTTCTCACTGAGCGGGCTCTCCGCGATCACATGCTGGCGCCACGTGGCGACATCTTGGCAATTCGGCAAGTTCATCATCCGCGATTCAGTCTGGACCTCCTACGGCTCGCGCAGTTCTTCGGCACTACCGGAGTGTACACAGCAACAGAGTTCCGATTCACCGGCCATCATCAAGCGATCGTCTTGGCAGAGGCGACGACGGTTCGACGGCTGTCAGCACCAGGAGTTAGCTACGTATCCACCGTTGTCATCTTCAGCGGTGACACTAGCGCGATCAGCCCTCTGCGACACACGCCCATTCGGACGTCGCTAAGGGAGTGGGGTCAGCAGCTGGCAGCAGATTGGAATCAGTGGCTTACGAGCCGCGACGATAATCTTGTCCCCACGGACGACATCGAAGTCGGGGCACTCCGGACGTCTCGACACGAGCCGGCAATGGTGCTTCCTGAGCTCGTCCCCTTCCAGTGTCCTCAATGAACCGATCGCAGCTCTCTACCTTCGCTCTCCACTCTCTCTTCCCTACCTTCTGGCAATCTGACCTTTGCCCCCCGACTCTCTTTTCGTTTGGAACCACTTGCTGTCCCCCTCCTCGACCGAAGACAGTGGGAACTGTGGTGTGAGCACTTCGTCGATCTTTCGGTGTGTTTGGTCGGAGTGCAGCTGACGTGGACAAGGGACGTAGAGCACCGCGCTTGGGTCGCATACGTGGAGATGTGGATCATTCAAGCTTGGAGGACGGAAGTGGAAGGAAACCTTCTCGGATTTCTATTCGGATCGGTGCATCCCGACCATCGACAACAGATCATGCAGGAGCTCACGATTCCCCTCGCGCAGCCGGTTGGTGATCTCCCTCTCAATATCATTTCCCAGTGCGACGAGAGCCCGGTCCCGCACGTCTTTTCACGGGCTTTGACACCCTACCTGCAGTGGTCAGCTTGCCTCGAGGAGTTAGCAGGCAACAACAACCCGCCATCGCAACAACCATACCTGGATCCCCGGGGGATAATTGACCTCGCTTTCTTTCAGCCTCGAACGGCCTCCGAAGACGAAGCGATAACACTAGAGGAGGAGGAGGAGGAGGACGAAGAGGGAGGCGACGAGGAAGAAGAAGAGGAAACCTCGACAGCAGATCATGCAGGAGCTCACGATTCCCCTCGCGCAGCCGGTTGGCGATCTCCCTCTCGATATCATTTCCCTGTGCGACGAGAGCCCGGTCCCGCACGTCTTTTCACGGGCTTTGACACCCTACCTGCAGTGGTCGGCTTGCCTCGAGGAGTTAGCGGGGAACAACAACCCGCCATCGCAACAACCATGCTTGGATCCCCGGGGGATAATTGACCTCGCTTTCTTTCAGCCTCAAACGGCCTCCGAAGACGAAGCGATAACACTAGAGGAGGAGGAGGAGGAGGAAGAGGACGAAGAGGGAGGCGACGAGGAAGAAGAAGAGGAAACCTTGGAAGAGGGAAGTTACAGCGAGCACAACGAGGGAGAGCAGAGCGACGGCGAGGAAGAAGAAGACGAGGTGGAAGAAGAGGAATCTGAGTGGGAAACCCAGGGAGAAGAGGCGGAAGGCGCGGAGGAGGATCCCGAGGCGGCGCGAAAGAGAGAAGAAATCGCCGCCGGCAAGCAGCAGCTGGAGTACGCAAGCGAAGCGAATCTGCCAATCTCGAACGATCCAGCTAAGGATCCGGAGCCGCCTAAGCCAAAAGATGGGGACCTTGCTGCCGAGACTTCGCGCGCACCGGCCAGGCGACGACGAAGCCGATCCCCCTCCCCCTCCACCTCAGCCCGTCCACCAGTTCGAGCTCGTACCGATGCGGGGCATCGGCCTTCGTCCCCGGTCCTTATCCCGTCGTCCCCTTGACCACCTAACCCTCCGCCAGATCACTACCCGCATCACCTTCCCCAGCAATCCCTTCCCAATCGACACCTTTCGTTTCTTCTACGCCACCCGTCTTGTTGTCACGATTCATCCCCATCCTTCTACCCGGTGTGCCATCCCTGCCTTTTGCCTCCACGCCCTTCTCTTCAGTGCTGCGTGGCGAGGCCACAACATCATCGAGGTTTATTGCATGATCACGGGGACTATCCCCGCGTGCGAAAACCACGATCACTTCCGCACGACGCTTCTCCGAACTTTCACCACCCTTTACCCCGACTATCTCGCCTCCCTCCCTCAAAGTGGTAATCGATTGCCTCGCTTCCACCAGATCGTCCGATATCAGGAGCTTCCGGAGACAGTCGCGGGGTTGGAACGCTTTCTACCCCCGCTCCCGACTAACCCACCCCCTCGCCCCCCATGTATCGTCTTCCCTTTCCCCTTCCCTTAGGACATTGATGTACGGTTGATTGGCACGTGCCGCGGCGACAGCACGCACGATCCCTTCCTCGGACTGAAGAGAGCCCATCCTGAGGAAATTATAGGATAGAGCCACGTGTGCCACCCTGAATGATTTCCACACTCCTTTGCACGATTGGTGGCAACGTAGAAAGCTCCTCGTGTCGATCGATTAGAGAGATCGACATGTGTCATGATACAAGCAAGCAGGAGCTTGCTTAAGATTGGAACCCCCTGGGCGTATCGTCTTCCCTTTCCCCTTCCCTTAGGACATTGATGTACGGTTGATTGGCACGTGCCGCGGCGACGGCACGCACGATCCCCTCCTCGGACTGAAGAGAGCCCATCCTGAGGAAATTATAGGATAGAGCCACATGTGCCACCCTGAATGACTTCCACACTCCTTTGCACAATTGGTGGCAACGTAGAAAGCTCCTCGTGTCGATCGATTAGAGAGAGATCGACATGTGTCATGATTCAAGCAAGCAGGAGCTTGCTTAAGATTGGAACCCCCTGGGCGTCACATATGTGACGAACCAATTTGTTCCGCGCGATTTTCTGCGCGACGACAATGAGGGGTCCTAAGATGGGAAGGTTGGGCCAATTACGAGAGATCGGGATCGAAGGGAAATTGCATCGGTGTCCTCGCTTCTTCATCTTTTTGCGTCATTTCTTTTCGGATGGCTAGGTTCAGGGCCGGGCAAGTCCCGAGATGGCCGATTGAGTGGCTGTTGCGCCGGCAAAGGCGCGAATAATAATGTTCGACGTCGCTTCTTTCTTGTTCTGTTGTCAGGTTTTAGACGTGGAGGTCGCACGGGAATTTTGCTTCCTTCCTTTTGAATTTCTTTTTCAAATCTTGCCGCGCCCTTGATGGCTCTCGGAACTTCGGACTTTCTTTCCGGAATTTGTGCTTTTTGCATTTTCGCATTAGATAGGAATTTAGGAGTTCGGGATTGCTTTTGCCGCGGGTTGTCTTTCTTGCACGCTTCTTTTTGCGGCTGCAACGGAGCTCTGATTAGTCGGCGCCCTTAATCTTGCAAGTAACTGTAATTTTTGGGCGGGCGCCATTGTAACTGTATCTTTCTTCTTGAGCTTCGCCTTTCCCGCTCTCTTTTCCCCTTTCGCTATGCCTAGTTAGCCCGCGACCTGCATGTTCGGATCGATGCGTGGAGAGTGGCCACGTCCCCCACGCTGTGGTCTGGCCATGCAGAACGTAGGTGCTCCCTCTCCTAATCTTCTTTTCAAGTCCTTGCAATTCCGTCTTCTTCACGCATGCATGCACGCTATAAATTCCGATTTCGCGATTAGATAGCTCTCTTAACCAATTGTTGGAAGCTCGGGGTAGCGCGATCAGTGAGGGTCGGCTCACGAGCGAAGTAAGAGGTGAGTTGAAGTGGGAGCCGGGCGACCCGACGAGCTGGTGCCGAATGCGCGGGGTTGACGTGTGGGGCTACGACGGACTATAGCGCGCGGGCGAACCTGACGGGTGCAGGAGGACTAAGCGGGGTGACGACTTCGTGGGTTGGTGCGCGACGACGGACTGTCCGCATCGGAGACAGAGAGCGAGAGGAAGAGGGAACTGAGGTTGATGGACGTGGATTTGCAGTTTTCTGTGTCTTTTATCCCTCTTTGCTTTTTGTATATAAATTTTGATCTCGGCTCAGGGCGACTCGCCCGTCTCGGTTTCAGCCCACACTCGTTTTGCAAGTGATCTTGATCTCGTTTGATTGTGTGTTTTGTCGAATGGATGGATGAATGAATGTTATGTTTGTTGCTTTTCTTTTGTCTGGTCCTTGCCCTTGCTTGTCATTTTGATATACTCATGAGCATAGTAGAAACTTTCGCGTAGTCGTCCTTACTGCTCTCATTGTTGTTTATCCTTTTTGAGCCACTATTGTTGCTGCGATGCCTGATGTGTAATAGCACCTTGCATGCTCAGGAACGATTGCGTGCGGGATCACGGAGTGATTAGATGATTGGATAGTTGTTTGTCCAAAAACAAGCGAATACCTCACAGGGATGCGTTGTCGGTCCGAATACCCTTACAAGGGTATTTGGGCACATATTTGCAGCTTACAGGAAGAACGCGCCTGACGATATCTAGGGGCACGCCGAGTTGTGTTGATTAGAGAGTGTGTGAGCGTGCACTTGCGGGCACGCGTTAGCTGGACCGGACCTTGATCCGGGAAGACTATGAGACGCCGATAGGACAAGTGAGTGCTAGGCTAGAGTTTCTGAGGCGGTCGCAGCGTCGCACGCACGGGCAAAGTTACGGGCAGCGTCTCGTTGACTAGGTAAGGTTGTGACTAGAGGAGGGTGTTGTCTGACTTACTAGGGGCCGACGTGCAGGGTCGCACCGTGTAAAGTTACGCAAGGCACTGAGTTGACCATGCGCTATCTATAGTAGAAGCCGCAGCCAAAGCCAAGTAAGGATGGCTCAGAATAGAACAGAAGTCGGGGTTATTAAGGGGGCGGTAAAAGGGCGTTCGTGGCAGCTATGAGAGGCATGACCCTCAGCCATACAACAGCGGAGCCGGCGTGCGTGGTGGACCAATCAGAGCCTTGCCCCAAGATAGCCGAGTGCGGCCTTACGGAGCGATGGACGCAGGCCGTAAGTTGGAAAAGCGGCCTGAGGTACCGTTTGCAGGCCCAGGCTGGCTGGCCATACCATTCATATACAGGGCAGCGCACGGCCAACTCAGGCTTGGGCTTAGCCCTATAGGTTACGTTACTGAACTTCCACCAGGCGGGTCCCGGGATCGAGGCCATCAGCGAGCAGCAGAGGAGCGCGTCGGAGTGAGCGGAGGGGTTGAGGGTCCCGCTGAACTATACCCCTTGGCTTTTTGCGAGGGGTTCCGACTGTGGGCCCGAGAGGTAGGACCAAGGGCCAAGTGCCAACGGCCTCCTCCCCTATTCTGCTCCCTAAAAATCTTCTTTTTATTTTGTTATTTTATTTTTTTGTTATTTCCTAGAGGTTTCTGTTGTTCTGCGTCTGAACGTGGTCCGGCGGTGGCGCCAGGTCCGGCGATGACCCGAGCACCTAGTTCAGTGGATACACCACCGAACTACTAAAATGCAAGCCGGCGTCCGAATCCAGGGGAGACAGCTGCCCCAAGGCAGCAGACCCGACGAGCCTGGGTCTCTGCTCAAGGAGCAGTCCTTCGGGACAGCCGTTAAAATTGGAACGATACAGAGAAGATTAGCATGGTCCTTGCGCGAGGTTGGACCACATAAAGGGAAAGAGCAACCTCTCTTTGAGGTTGCTAATTGTGAGTGCCTTCCGAGAGGAAAAGGCAGCCCGGACTGCTGAGAGAGTGCCAGTATAGGCCAAAGAGAAGGGAATGAACCTGGGCTGGTTCCTCACCAGGTGCGTTCAAAGTTGGGGATGGCGGAGAGACTGGCCGAGCGCAGCCAAAGTGGAACAACGGGCGCGATTCTTAGAAGCAGCGAGCGAAGTGAGAGTCGAATCCGGATTTTCTAAGGCTGGCGAAGCTATACCTGTGGTTAGTCTGCGTGATAGGTCGGTAAGGTAGGAAGTAGGAAAAGGAGTTAGTACGGGAGGCTATGGCGGAGAAGATGGTGTGAAGTGTGGGAGTGGAGAAATGCTCGTCCCTCTCGATTCCTAACAGAATCAGATAAGGGAGAGTGCTAACCCGACGTTTTTAAGGTTGGGCGAAAACGATTGTGAAGTCAATTTTAGTGTTGAGACAGTAAAAACAGGAGGAGGTAAGAAAAGTTGTGCGTGGAGAAAAGGCAGTAAAGGCGAACGAATGAACCTGGGCGCTAAATCGCGCCAGGTACATTGGGAAGCTGAAAACGAAAAGCGCGAGCTATGGTGTGCGCAGCAGGAAAGCGGCAGCATGGACTCAGACAGGGAAGGAGGCAGAACTTGGGGTTGAGGCGAGCCAAATGGTGGGATCGGATTTGTGCAAGAAGTAGTAAGGAAAGGAGTGTCGGGGGAAGAGTTGAGAAGGAAAGGAGAGGGGAGAAGCTGCCTTACCGCGATCATTCGTTGGTCGATTTTGGAGGAGTAAGATGGTAGGTGGCGGGTTTCTGCCATTGCGAGTTAGGTAGCGGTATTAGATGTAGCACTCAACCAATGGTTTGGTAGCTACGATAGCCGGGGGCTGCGTAGCGTGCGTTCGGCCAAAGGGAGGTACTAGTATGGGGGTGTATCTTTCCCTGTTCTAACGGAAGATTCATCTTCATTTTGCATGGTTGGTAAGTATTCGAGCAGGGTCACGCAGTTGTTGTGCGTGAACGCCAAAGGTAAGTATTTTCCCTGTTCTAACGGAAGATTCATCTTCATTTTGCATGGGAGGTAGCAGGTCCGTTGGTACTTACCCCGGTTACGCAACTGCTCATCTCGATTTCGCTGGTTTTGTTGCACATCCTCATCACGTTCGAGATCGACCTCAACATCTCGCTGGTGGGATCGTTGCTCGTCATCAC